GATGCTGCCTGTAAAGAAAAGATGTCATGATTCAGGGCACCAGGTTGTGGCAAGCTGGTGTCCTGAATCGTGACATTTCACCCCTTGCTTCTTTCTCTCTAACAGGCATTTCATACAGATCACCCTGTGCGTGTGTGAGTTGTACGGCGGCTGGATGACCTACTTCCCAGAGTGGCTTGTCGGAAGCCACAACCTCAACACCAACAGTTGGCTCTACCTGTGGGTCTACTTAGTATTTTTTAATGGTGTGTGGGTTCTGATCCCAGGACTGTTACTGTGGCAGTCCTGGGTAGAACTCAAGAAAATGCATCACAAAGGAGTACATTCACAGAAAAAGTTTCAGTGAATTTTCAAACATCACAAACACTATTATCTTGCTTTATGAGCCAGAGTGGATCAGACCCTTTTTGTTTGGCCAAAATGTGATACATTTCAGTCTACATTCCAGTCTTTCTTTTTATTTTGTTGTTCCTGAACAACCCATTTCAAATTAGTTGTAAAGTGGCAAGTTTTTGTTTTTGTTTTTCAGTTAAATGGCAATATAGGGGAAAGAGAATAAATTTTAACTTGTAATAATGACACATATAACTATACACTTTTTATGGCTGGCATTAATTGTTCCACACTAATAAAGCCAATTGTCATTGAATACTACAGAGAGTATACTACTCATTTTTTATTCCAAAGAACATGTTGTTGCTTCATCTTTTAATCTTCTCACTAGTCTCTTTTGGTTACCAGTGTGAAAGCAGAAATGAAACAAATGCTTCTACTTCACATTTGTACTTTTTCAGATTTGTGAACCCAGCAAAAACTGATAGTAGTCAGAACTTGTGAGTGGGTTAACTCCTCATGGGTAGACACTGGGCCCCCCACAGACGGGTGATTGATTTATATCTGTCCTTTTTCAAAGAGGAGGATTTGAGCACCTTACAGAAATACATAATGCATTATGATAAAAAGCAAATCAGGAAATAGAAATGCAGGGAAAATAAGAGTGCAAAATAATAAAATAAATGTAAAGTGTTTTTTTAATTTTTAAAAATTCATCAATATACAGGGTAAAATAAATGTAAAGTTAATACAGAATGCCTGCACTAACGTATGTAATCAAGAGGAGTAAAGCACAGGTCAGGCACTTACCCTCAGTATCAAGAGGAAAACACAACCACGTGTTTCAGAAAACAGTGGTTCTGGGAGGTGGTTAGAGTGGTTTTATCAGTATTGGGAGCAGGTACTCACATTAAATTGTTTGGCACCTGCCTTTTGTATTAGACTCTAAGCTCACAGAAGTATTCTCTGCCAAGGAAAGTGGTGGGTGCCATAGCTCCTATAGCTCGGTCTGTGTTCTGCCCCTTTCCAGGCTGCCTTCTTATCTGCAGAGGCTGCAGTTTCTAGTCCTGGATGCCAAATTGGTTTCACCTTTCAGAGGTACTTGTGAGAGATTTGGAGAGTGAGAACATAGAGGTCATTTTTTTTTTTTTTTAATAGATGATGGGTAAGGGGATCTTAACCCTTGATTTGGTGTTGTCAGCACCACGCTCCCCCAGTGAGCCACGGGCCGGCCCTCATAGAGGTCATTTTTGATTGTTTCTTTTCTCTTTCTCTTTTTTCTGTTGTGTGCTGACAAATAAGGTCACGGAGATGTGAGGGTTTGGGCATTAGTATACCAAGTGTTCCACTTCCTGGGTATTGAGAGGCAGGTGTGGTTGGGGCAGCAGGAATAAAGGGTCTGTGGGCTGAGTACCTCCCGTGGTGGCCTTACTGGTAGTGTCTCCCTTGGGAGGGTCCATCCTCTGGTCATCTGGGAGTCATCTCTACAAGCTTAGCCACACACCTGTACCCTATAAGCCAGCAATACCCAATAACCCCACAATTGACTCCTGGGTACATACATCACAGAAATGCTTATTAATATCTGCACCAAAATGGCAACATTGTTCATAATAATCCCAAACTGGAAACAGCCTAATTGAACAAATTGCAGTGTATACATGTAATGGTATACAGCAATGAAAATTAACCTTCTGCTACTCCTAAAAACATGGATGAGTTTTGCAGACATAATGATAAGCAAAAGAAGTCAGACCAAAAGAATACATACTGTATGATTCTCTTTATGTAAAGGAACAAACCCAGATCAAACTAATTGATGGTGTTAGAAATCAGGATAGAGGTTGCCTTTGGGGAAGAATGTGGGTGTAGTGATGGGGAGAAGTCGTGAGGCTTTTGAGATGCTGATAAATGCTCTTTTTTTCCATTTGGGTGGTAGTTATAATTTGTGGGTCATTCTGCTGTGCAATTATGAATTGTGTCCTTTTCTGTATGTATGTTATACTTCAATTTTAAAAGTTTAGTTAAAAAAATTTCTGGTACGAGACCTGAAACATACTTCCATTGGGTCCTCATGAGGGCCCATCACTTTGCCCTTGACAGCAGATTCAGTACAGCTTGGGCTGTTTCCAACAGTGTCCTGGGTGTGGGCTGACTGGGACGCCAATGGGAGTCTGTGCAGCCTACCCAGGAGGGATTAGCCAATGTGTTTCCAGTGCTTTGCTCTCTGCTGATCTGGCTCAATCAGAGGGTAAACAGAGTAGAGCAAAACGGATGGGCTGCAGTTGCTGCGGAAAGTCCGGAAAACATGATTTCTCTCCACTGAGTTTCTGCTGAGTATTGAATGGGAGAGAAGTGGGGATTATAGACTCTGACAGGAACTTGGAGTACAGATACATTCTACCGCTCAGTATCGAGAGATCTCAGTGTCTTCACAGTTAAGGGAGTTGGGAGAGGGTTGGTGTCCCGTATGACAGTTCAGGAGCCTCACAGATCCCGGTGAATATAGAAGCCCGTCTCCCTGTCTTGGGAGGCGCGAGCAAGCTGACACAGGGAATGCCATATTTCATGGATTCCAAGATGGATTTTCCCCACATTTTAATTTTAAAAATTAGGATGGATTTTACAATTAGTATGTCATTACTTAGTAGGCAATGGTTTTTTTCTTTCAAACATACAACACACCAGATGCTTGATGGCATCTCAGAGTCAATGAAATGGGGCACTACCTTCAAAGTTGTTCCCTCTTCAAGCCTCAGTATCTCCAACTACTTGGAGGTGATAGACAGCTGGAATTTATTTTAAAAGCCTATATTTTGCTTGGGACCTTAGGGATGATTTACTCTGTCACTTCTTTCCCCTCCTGGTCACATTAGTTGCCTGGGAGCCAGCCCAGAGGCATGGAAGGCATGCTTTAATGAATATATTAAATGATGTGCAATGGGAGATGAATGGCTTATATTGTAGGTAGGAAGACTGCTGCAAACCAGCATTGTATTCCTCCCCAGTATTGTTTGTACTGTAAATTTCCTTTGCAAACTCTTCCTTTCCAGATAATATTGAGGCAGATGTCAGCATAACCCATCTAAAAAGAGGGTAAATGATGAATTTTCCTTGTATTTAGTTACATCAGCTCTTCAACTCCCAAAGTACCAGTACTGGAACTCCAAGACAAGTCTATAGATTGCAACATGGAAATTGTAAAAGAAAACGTTGTCAAGGGCTTGATGGAAACCAAAGTGAAAAAGTTTGGAGAAGAATCCTTTGTGGGTTTTTTTTATTTTGAAATTATTATTAAAATCCATATGCCCCTTATTTTGTTTGTTAGGAAGGCTGGAGTTTGACTCTAAAGAGACATCATTTAAAAAGAGAATAATTGGGCAAAGCCTTGCATGAAAAAAGGTTAACTGTTGCTATCCTTAATTTTAATCAAAGGCCGTGGAGGTAATAGGCAGCACCTGCAGGCCTGGGGCAAGTGTGACCCGACTTCCCTCTACACCTTCCCTCTCCCCTTTTCACTGCCTCAAGCGCTGCCTTGACATCCCCGCAGACCCCAGACCTAACAGTAATTCATTTCTTACCACCACTTCACTGTAGCAAACAAACAAATTAATGACATTAATTGACATTAAAGGGTTAATAACCAATAGTGGTTTGATGTATTACCCTTCCTGAGTGTACTTACATTAAAAAAAAAAAAAATTATTGCCCCCAGTATCATCAGAGAGAACCACTATTACAAATTTAGTTTCTATTTTTTGAACTTTTTTCTGCACGTGTGTTAACATTTTGGGAGACTCCTGAAGAAAGACTTCAACACCCCTTCCTTTCCCTTTGTCCCTTGCCCTGAACTTATCATCCAGGAAGTGGCGGTTCTACACCCAGAACTGACTGTGAGTGGTATTACAACATTTCCCCCATTCTTGAGAAAGTCATGCGCTTACAGAGGTTGATAGGAAGCAGTTATCAATAATTTGTGGAAAACAGTTTCCTTAGATACTTATGTTGATACAGAACAAATTGACATCTTAAAATATTTGATGGCCACAGCCACCTCCCAACTCTTCAATGGAGGATCAAGTGTGTTGATCGTTTGGCAGCATTAGGTCCTTAATCCTTTCTCTTCCAGAAGCCTCTTTCTCTTCCGGAAGCCTTCAGCGGTCCCCTGGGAGTGAGGAATGGACTGTGAATTCTGTAAGTCCTTGTCTGTGTCATTTAAGTGGCCCTAGGTGGCATTCCATTGTAATTTTTGTACATCATCTTTCTAACTGCACAGGAGCTTCTCAAGACCACACTTAGAATCCTAGAATCTGACATTGAATAAAGGGGCCTTGGAGAGGTTCACTTAATACCCAAAGAAACTGAGGCACAGCGGGGTTAGATCATCTACCCAAGGCCATACATAGCTTTTCAGTGAGCTAGCACCCAGTTCACTTAAAAGTGCTCTTTCTTTTCCAACAGCAAGTCTCAAACTGAGCATTAGACGTGTTAGGAGCTTACAAGTTATAAAAAGTATTCGATTTTGTGGACTTTTTCATGCCCTAAAACAACCTTAAACACATTTCTGAGTATCTGTCTATTCATTATACTCGAGTAGCTGCTCAATTTCATCATTTGTTTTTGTGTTTATGAATGGTCCTGTTTGTGTTTTTCACTGGTTGGACCAAGCAGCCAAGTGACAGCAGTTGCTTGAAATGCAGTGGGTTTCCTAGGGGGAGAGACCACAAAATGGAGCACGTGCTCTCAGGGGTCCCCGGTTTTTCAAATTTGAGCAGCACTGCACCACAGCACACCGCTTCATATTGCCCACACGTTTACGGATAATGCATTTTAATAAAAAGTAAATGAAAAATTCTTTCTTTGCCTCTCACTTCTAATACATGGTATTGTGATGACAGTGAAGGTGAACAGATCTTTGGCATATCCTGGTTACATTATGGGAGTCCAACTGATTTCGGTCACCTAGGGTGGGATCTAATTAAACTGGAAGGCGGAAAACAGTTTCACCGGTATGCACCCACAGTTTGAAGGTAAATTCAGTCCCTAGCATGAGATCTGACCACAAAATATTCATGCTGCCTGTAATAGTGACATCTGGTGGCCTTGGGGTAATAGGACAGTGGTTGAGTGGCTGGTGTGTGGATTTTGATGAGATGACCTTAAGGTACATAATAAAGCAGTTGCCTGTCATGGCCACAGAAGCCACAGCCCTTTCTCTGGGAGCACCGCCCTCCCTGGTGACACAGCCTATGGGCCCAGAATCTTCAGCATTGCGCCTGCTTCCTGCGTGCTCCCTCCTCCAGCCCCACGCAGCTCCTGAG